ATTTTAATGAAGATGTTGACCCTGACGAAAAGGTACCGTATAACAGTTGTGCCTCTGTTCGTATTTTAATATTCTTTCCACATAATGCGCTTCTGCAACGTTTGATTGTATCAGACCACCTCAAATAAAATCGCTCAATCTTGAGGGGTCTTCCTGCTTCTCAAGGCTTGAAGGGTAAGCTGAAGAGTTAAGTCTTACTTAAACATACCCATAGAGTTTTGCGCTCTCTTTCTCTTTATTTGCATTTGCTGATATGCGCGTTTCTACACCCACCTTTGTTGGGTCAGTAAAACGTATTGAACGATGAAATTGAGAACTGAACAGAAAACTTTTCGATTTTTTGATGCATGAAAACGGTTTTATACAAGTTGGTCCATATGAACGAAGGTCAGAAAAAAATTGTCATGTCGCCCAAGTTTCCCAGGATATTTCTCAGCTTATATGTCAGAGGAAGCGAGGTGGTTGTCCTGAATTGAAAATGTACTTTGCAGCATTAAACTGAGAAATTGCCTTTATACCCATCACTGCGATGGATTTGCCAAGCGAGTGCATCTGTGAAATATTTTTTGCGGCATCCTGATCACATGAGCAGACTATCGAATTAGTACCTCTAGACTTGGAGAAAGAATAACTCAGAATCAGGGATATTTCTAAATACCGCGTTCTGAATTTTGTAGAGTCACATCACCCCGGCAATCTTTCGAACAAACGTCATTCCTGCCACTGGCATTTTTCGGTCAGTACCCATCATTTTTGTCTACAAGCGAACTGACGCATCCAGCAAAACGAATGGTTCATAAAATCGCGTCTTGCAGCAATAGCGAGAACGAGTGGAGGCACCAACGCAGTAGTAGGTTGACTTTCACGCTAGAATGAGGGTTCAAATGCAGCGCTGTGTGAGTTTTCAATTATTAACTGCTAATTCCCTTGAGCAAGGAACCGACCCCATTTTCCTTTGGGCGCAACCTACCGAGAACGTGTAGCAAGTCGCTGATGTGCCAACAAAACGAACAACAGTGTGTTCTGTCATGCGATCATGCTAGAGACTGCGAAATACACGAATATGCTGCCCGTTGCTTGCGCTTTACGGCTGCAATTCGCCTTGACCTACTTGATAGCTGACTAAGTCATCACACTATGTAAACTTAAATTTGATAATTGTGTAGATAACGATTGAAATTATTGCCAATGGAAATGAAGCATTTGAAGTACGCTTTGTTGCTTCACCGTTGTATATGGGAAGGGGAGAGCAAACTACTAGTTGTTCTGACCGCTTAAAAGCTGCTCAGCGTTGGAATGTTGATCTTTCTACACTTTTGTCACTGGACTACTTTGGCGTCCTTCTTTTTCTGAAGCTAATGGTGCTGATCTCCAATTTCATTCCACCAGCCAGGAATGCCTCATTTTTTGAAAGCAGATTTAACAGCCCATGACAATCGTAGTTTGCGTCTCCTGCTTCCTCCCCACAGAGGAGCGAGTCATTTATCAACCTCGTAAGGAAGAAGGGCGGTTGACCCTGGCCAGCAGTTGAACTCTGGGCCTATCAGTTCTGAGTTCGGTGCCCTACCGACTGAGCAACCCAGATCTGCAACAATATGTAGCAAATTCATTGCTCAAGGAAATTCATGAATAAGACAAAGATTACCCTCGACCAGAATCTAACCCCACACCTCTTGAGTTCAAAGTAGATCTCTTCGTTCCACATACCACACCTTACTCTTAGCATCAGGTGGGATCTTAAATATGGAGCTTTGCTGAAGTAGTATCGTAAAGGGGACCAATCCCGCAATGTCATAGTAATAAATCCGTGAAAAAACGCATCCTGAACTACGGCTATCGTGGAAAAGTAAAACTGAAGGCAGTCACCGTCACAGATAACACATTCACTTTCCTTTCTGGTTATTTTGAAACGAAGCACAAGCTCTAATATTTCATATACCTAGGATTGAACTGTTCTACGTACTTACCTTCAATTGTTTGTACCTGAAAGTTGGCCAACTAAAAGAAATGAAAGTAAACTAATCGTAACATAAAATAAAACAGCAACACAGTCATTAAGAGTAGGTTGCGTTAAGCGGTAGCAAGATGAGGAACAAAGATTTAGCAGGGCTCAAATTTTATTTGCTGGTGCGATTTCTCTACTAAGTCAAATACGCAATCAATCAACGATTACCGGTAATGCTACAGCGGTTAAGTCATTGTTGCTTGGTATCATGATCATTTGAAATCTCTAGCCATTTCTTGTGATTTACTACATCGGTCACAGTTCGTATAGGTTTAGCTGACAACGAATAGTAACAACTCCTTCATACTTTCGGTTTCTTCTGTAACTATATTCAACTCCTGTAGAACATAGATGCTGATTTTATCAATTCACTGTAGCGACAACGAACGATTTTACTCTGAGCTTGTTTTATGGTGCAGACTTTGTTTCATTGACTTAATGGGTGGGTGTTACCATATCAAGATGCTGGTGAAGATCACATGTTCTTTAGTTCAGAAGCGTTTGGCGACTCTTTGAGCGACAGCTCATTCTTCCAGCATTTCTTCTATTTGACAGATCAAAATAAACATTTTTTACAATATATGACACAGAGTTCGTTCTTCAGTTAGGTTTTTGCCAGTACTATCGGACTCAAATAATTATTTAAATTTTCAGGAAACGCAGTAGCAAAATAATTATAAAATTGCGTATTTATTTGCAGTTGTAGTCGTAACTTTAAATGGTAGGGTGCTTGTTGTCCAGGTAAGCGATAGACTGAAGTGATAGCGAAAATGATACTTGACATATCTTGATTGCATTCTGCACCGCATATTTTTTGCATATAAACTTGCAACATGCGTCGCGTCACTCATTCCTGCCTCCGATTATTTCTCGTGATAGTCAATAATATGATCATATCAACATAACCGATGAACAGTTACAATCTAACTAGTCTAAGCGGCTTGGAATCAGCTACAATTTGTTAACTGTTTTGAAATCACTTGAAGTTTTGAAACGCCCTCATTTAAAAATTGCGATAATTTCACTGGCAGAATCTATCCTTAGTCATATAGAAAAAATGTATTGGCAACATTTCTACTTGTTTTAACCATGTCACACGACACTAAAACATGAGAAAATTTAGTACAAAGCATTTTTCTAAACTCCTGCTTCGTATTACAGTACGATCCCCACCCAAACTGTGTAGTCAGTTGGCTCAAGCGAATTGAGAGTTACCTTCGCTAGCTCGACAATTACCTTATCAAGAAAACAAAAATTCGCCGCTAAACCGCCTTTACAACAGATCTAGTTCTTAAATGAACGACGTTGGTGCCTGGTTATCTTCTCTAATATTGCACATTAGTCACGTACTCTCCTAACCCCCTCGAATAGTGCTGCTCTACAAGAAAGGCGATCAAGTAGAGTTGAAAACCTATGGAACATCAAATATGTTTGCTATCCCATGGCATAGGCTGTTCACGAAAGTTCTGTTAAATCGTTTAAACAAAAAACAGCCAATCGAGCAAGCTATCTTTCGCCGAAATTTTCCGACACCCCACCACCTCAAAGCATTAAGTTAGTTACTCAGAAAATGTAATGAGTACAGGCTGCCCATCTACATGATCTTTTGACGTGGGGAAGCGTGAGGCAGTCTTCCGTGCGCTAAAAGAGCAAGAATTATAGAAAGTTTACAACCGAATTCTGCAAAACCGTACATAAGCTGCAGCATGAAACTGGAGCTGTTTGAAGACCCAGATGAAGCCAAAGATTTTAATGGAGTTTTTTAGGGAGAAACCATTTCGCCCGAGCTGCTTACGACATGTCATGCCATTGACCTGCGAAATGAAATGGGATGGAGGGTTTTCAGTTAGCGACAGATGCCTCACTCATCCTCGATTTGCTGTCGATATCGTGCTGTTTGGGACGAAGATGAAATAGGTTGAAATCATGCTATGCGAGTTAGCGTTAAACGGCAAACAAGTTGTACTTGAAGACGAAAAACGATGAGACACAAATTCCTTCAACCAGCTACAATTACCATCAATGATGGCCAAATGTAAGAAGTCATTGAAGACGTCTATTTGGGACAGCCAATTGCGTCAGGTTCGTAGCTCGTTGCAAAGTATCATGCGGGGTGGAGTACATGCAGAAGAAATGCTAGCATTCTCGAAAACGGTAAGTTGTTGATCGCGGTTATTATCATATTGTGTGAAAGCACTGATTTATATGTGGATTAACAAAATGGATCAAGAACTGCTGAGGGCAGCAGCGAGCTATGGAAAGGAGAATGCTAAATATATTCATACAAGTTGTGGAAGGAAAAATAAGAAGATGTACAAAAAAGAAGGACTTTTATTGATTAAGAAGAAAAGTCACTTCACAGGATTTACAGATAGTCGATGGAATTTGGCAGTGACGGATTGGTGCCCAGAGACCTCAAGCGCCCAATTTGAAGATTCGGTTCAGAGGAACGAACAGAAATGTCTACGGGGACAAATCGCACGGAATAAAAGAACGGGGACGTCGGGACAAGGCAGTGGTGATCCTGGCTAATAACGGAGAAGAAAAATTTAATTGCAGTTGTAAATATTATTCACCTATCGCGCTTTTTCAAATATGCCGATGACAAGATGATCACTGCAGCTGAAAGTAATGACTCGTCGCTTAGCATTCACCAAACCAATCCATTTTGCCATGCTGTGAAAATTTAGCCAGTATATTGTTCTGGTTGAATCCTAAAAAGAGTCGTGAAATCTTCCATTTATGCAACAGACTAGGTACTCTGTGCTTTCATACTTACGCAATCATCTTTGCAAATTTGCCAGTGATAAAGTTGAACGTATGAATTCCATAGAACATCTTAGCGTCATTCTGAGTGTTGATTTATCTTGTTTTAAATGTGTGCAGTTGACTGCCGACAGAATTCGGAAAGTACGGTTATCTTATCCACCTGAGGCAAATAGAGGCGTCAGGATCATACCTCTTTAGATTCATTATCATACCTGTTTAGAAGTTTCTGAGCAACTCGATAGGTATCATTCACCTAAGAAGTGGAGTGGCGGCATGGTCAGTCTGTATCGATAATTCACTTGGACTGAACAATAATCAGCGACGAATCTCGTCGGCTGCAACGCTCCCGCCATTTATTGCGATTTCAGGCTTTCTCCCTCCAAACGTGGCCTTCCTGGCTCCTGGAATAATCTTCTCACCCTCGCAGTTAGCGATCAGTTGGTCTACCCTCTCCCCCCACATATTGATAAGTATCTGAATAAAATGGTATAAATGCATTCAAATTATTAACTTCATATTTCTGTGCAAATGGCATAGAGGATCAGTGGTGCAAGCATGCAAAAATATATGAAACTTACGTTGACGATGTGTGCACGGCTTTAAAAAAGCAACGTCACCGCAATCCATCGTTAGCAGAAAGTCAAGGTTATAAATCAACTTGAATGTAAAACTGTGAAATATAAATAAATGAAAAGTGAAACAAAACTTAACACAAATCGCCCTAAAAGAAAACGAATGAATGCTGGATGAAAAGCTAAAAAAATTTTCAATGAGACACCCATTTTTCCATAATGGCGATAAGAGTAATTATAATCTATTCAATGTTTTATTATGTCAGTTTTTTGCCTCTTACTGCGTTCATTCACCAATATCAGTATTCGTTGTCATAATTTTCAGAAAATTGGAAGCCCATGATGGAGTTGCCGTCTTTTAAGCAGTACCCACTGATTCCAGATACTAGCAGGGAACGGGGCTGCTACAAGATTAGCGGACCATTGCAGGTGGAGGACCATATCAAAGGCCCGATCCAGATTTATACCGAGACAAAAATGTCCGTTCAGGGAGAACCGATGCGTTGCATAGGAGCTGACGTAAGGACAAATTGCGGTGGACACGGCTCTTGGTACGCTTTAAGCTTTGTGTGCATATTTTTGACGTTGTTATTCATGCGACATTCCCTGATACTCCTCTTTCTTCTAATTGACTTAATAAAGCAGTTACTTTATTAACACAGATATCGAGATAAATTGTTAAATTACAGCTGGTGATCCCTTCCTGTGAGTTTTGTTTCCTTAATCTTCCATCCAGTCGCTTCACTCGATGATGCATATGTGATTTTTTTGTCGCTTACCTCAAACCATCCTTTCTTCCTTGTCGCAGGGGCCAGACACGACCAAAGCAATAGATTGCTTGCCATGTTGAACAGCGGCTGGGTATTTTTCCCTTAGTCCGTTCCGGTAGCCATGAAGATGTCGTGAAATTCGAACCTGATGGCCAGCGAGGCTCTGGTGGATTATTATGAAATTTTGACTGGTGTCATAACCACCCAGTGGTAGGGAAGCGACTGCCACTATTCATCCGGTGGTCAAATGAGTTCTTTTGTTAGAAGTCAATGGCGGCTTCTGGTTCACAAACAGGCACCTAATCAGATTGAAGTAGCGTAGTTGCTTCACTGCCTTTGTCTCTTCTCCGTTGTTCTGAAGAAACATGGCATACAAAGACAAGAAAACAGAAAAAATATGAACTGAATCTCTAGTACAATGGTCTCGGCGCCTGGCTCGTCAACGCAGTGTCTCTATGACATTCGAATGATTAGCGCAGCAGTTCTTTGTCGATGATAATGAAGAACAGGGAAGTCAATAGGAAGTCAATAGTTCACGAACTTTCAAATGAGCTCACCCTCCTGATCAAGTCCCTA